TGATTGAATGAGAAAATGAAAGGATCGTTCGATTTTTTATGAATTCTTTTGTTAAGTGTATTTGGAGTGTGCTTCGGAGACCGTGGATACTTTTTCTGAGCGCTCATTAAATATAAATTAAGTTAAAGTAATATTAAAATTATCGTAAAATCAAGGCGGATTTTGACATGTCTTTTCAATTCCTTCTTTCCAAATATCTCCAAAATTGAAACACATTTTCTCACTTAACTATATATAAATTATTACAATTGTATTGTAAATTCCTCTGAGTACCGCATCTTAGTTAATAGTCATGAAAGTATGTGCAAATATTATACTAGCTGTCCCGGCAAACGTTCTTTTGCTATATAAATTTCAGTACTAATATTGCTATTAAAAAGAGAGTTTGGTGATTAGAGTGGCAAAAATTTAGGGTTTTATGTTTTTAATGCCACCTTATAAAAAAAAATTACGGGATGAGAACCGTTATTACTCAGAGATATGATAAATAGATGGTAGTCGATTATTGGCCCTACTGAATTTGCATATAAAATTTCATAAAAATCAGTCAAGTCGTTTCGGAGTAGTATGGTAACTAACATTGTGACACGAAAATTTTATATATAAGATTAGCTACTCGCCCCGGCTTCGCAGGAATATACATGGATTATATATATAAACCTTCCTCTTGAATCACTCTATCTATTAACAAAAAACGCTTCAAAATCCGTTGCGTAGTTTTAAAGATTTAAGCATACATAGGGACAGATAGCGACAGTGACTTTGTTCTATACTCTGTAATGATTATGTAAATTTTGCATTTTGCAAAAAAAGAGGACCTGGAAAATATTTTCGTCGATACTGAAAAACACTTAAAATGGCAATCTTTTAAATGTTTTTCAGTTTTTGGAACACTAAAAGCGACAGTCGATTAAAAGATGTCAAGTACGAAACGTACGTTTTTGCAATATACTAGCAGTGGAAAATAGAAAATGTTTTTCAGTCAAGTCAACTGTTAAATCGACTGTTACATTTTCCAGTAGACTGTAAACTTAATAGAGCTGAGAATGAACTACCTATGGTACGGTACAGCTATATCAACGAACTACACGAAGTTAGTTTAAGTATTTCATTAATTAACTAACTAACATTTCCTTAACGCATCTGAACTATTTATTTTGTTATTCAAGTAATAAAATTATAAAAGTTATAATGTAGATTTTTATTACTTTTTTATTTAATTTCATGTAAGTATCATGTAATGAGTATAAAATTTTATTTGTAGTTTGTATTGACACATATCATAACTTATATTTAAAAAACTAACAAGCTAAGTTTTTCTTATTCCTCTTATGAATTTAATACTTGACTCTAATGAAATTGGTGCTAGTTGGTTGTTTGTTTTCACACATTTAAACTTAAAAATGTAAAGTTACAACTAAATTATTCAAAAGAGCAACACGCAAGTCACTTGCTCATTCTTCAATGATAAAGCATTCCCAATGAGCGAAAAAATAAGTTATGACTATTCAAAAGTGCTTCAAGGTAAGTTCATTTGAATAAATAATTTTCTATTCTATTCTATTGTCGGCTGAATCTGTGAGCAGTAGAGTAAAAAAGTAATGAAAATTTTACTCCTAAAGTACTTGTAATAAGTATAATACAATGAAGGCTCTTTTACATGTCTTTAAAAGAGCTACAGGCAAGTTTGTTTTTAGATAAATTTGCATTCCACCGCTCGGTGGAATTAAAAACTGTCAGTTTATATGTTCTTAAAATTTTATATATATGTACATTATATACACATAGTATAGTATATTTTAATGTATAAATTATTTTTTTAATATTGGATCGCGACTGATTTTATTATAGCAAACAGGTATTCAAAGATCAAATACGAGTGTGTATATTATGAAGAGGTCTGGGTTTTCCTCATTTTATTACTTGTGTTAGAATTATGTACCTAGAAAACCAATCGATAAATGAACCAACTTAAAAACCTACTTTGGTTTTGATATCAATTGTCATTGACAATTCTAAATCGATTTTGATAATTTTTTTTTATTTTGAAAGCGATAGTGGCTGTTATGGCAAAGGATCTCTATTCATTATATTATATGTGAAGGCGTGGCATATTATTACCCAAGGTTATCTTTATGCGGTTGAATACACACTTATTATAATAATGGCTTAACTAAAAAATTAGATATTTTGGAAAGTCTACTTTATAATTGTGTTATTAAGTCTATTTTCAAAAATTTTTAATTTCTGAATTACACCAGTATTGTACTAGATATGCGACTTATTAACGCTCATATGTCATAAATAAACATATATGTCATTTGTATAAGCAGCGCGCGCAACTGATTATTGTCAATCCGTTGTCTCCTTATGAATTTAAATGAATAAACGTTTGCTCTGCAATTTTATTTTATAAATACATAAATATAATCCTGGTATAGCCTATAACTGATGACCCTGCTCTTGGACAAGAGCGTAAGAACATATTATTAATAATTTTGAAGAATAAAACAACATATAATATTAAAAATGTTGTCAATACATATGAACAACATTTCCTTGGAAGAAACAACATCTACCGTTCCATCCGAGCTATTCAGGTTCGGAATACGCGTTTCTCCATTCTGGCCAGTAGAGTCAGAGATATGGTTCGCGCAAGTAGAGGGATAGTTTGCAATTTAGAATATCACATCTATTATTTTGATTTAACAAAATTTTATTATGTTATTGGCCAACTGGACCACCAATTTTCAAAAAAATTTAAAGAAATGTATAAGCTGTTTATTAAATATAAATAAATATGACATTTAAATTTGTAAATATCACATTGTCACCATTCAAGGGGTAAAATAAAATAGCAGATAAAAGTTTTTATGGAAATTCGTCATATTTGAAGCTAGAACGATTAAGCTTTTTTCTTACGCTTTTTTGGGTCAGTTTATTTAATAAATACCTTACTAATATTATGAAAGTGAAAGTGACTCTGTCTGTCTGTCTTAAAAGCCAAAACTTCTGAACTGATTTAAATGAAATTTAAAGTCTAGATCTTGAGATAGGACATAGGTTACTTTTTAATGCTAAAAAGGGTTATAAGAGACTGAAAGAGGAATTTTTTAAAAGTTTAAGCTTCAATCCTATTTTTTTGCGTATTGATTAAATATAATTAACGAAAATGGGTTGTAAGGGTCAAAAGGGGAGTTAAAATGTTGTATGCATGTATTGTCATTTTTTAAAGCTAGAAACTTGAAACCCATTTTTTAGGCTGTTGAGAAAATATCAGTACCTACCGCCACAGGACTCAGCCATAAATGGTTACAGTATAGCGACATCTTATCATTGGTACATGATGACACTAATATAAGTAGCATTAAAAAAAACAAGAAAAAGGGTTATAAGGGGTTGAAAGGGGAGATGTAATGTATGTATGGTATGTATGGAAGTATCTTCATTTTAAAGATAGTAGTTTGAAACTTAGTTTTTGGCTGTTGATTGAATTGTATGGAATTATGTATGGAAATTTCATTTTTGAAGCTAGAACGATGAAACTTTTTTATTGGGTTAGATTATTAATATATATTTTTTATTATTTGCTCAAGGTCACTATTTTACGCGGACGAAGTCGCGGGTACAGCTAGTATATAAATATATTAAAAAACAATTTATATTAGGATAAATATTGTACAGACAATAATAGTAGTAATAGTTTTCATTACAGAATACGAAAACAATAAACTTTAAATAGTTAGTTAGTTAGTTTTAATATTAAAATAGTTTCTCAACACATATGTAAGTTTTAACGAAAAGTTTTGTACTAATTTGCGCTGGTGTAATCTAGGTCGAAGACAAAATTAAGTTAGACAAGATGGTGTCCAGAGGGGCTGGACTGCATTAACGATGACTTGATAGAATATATTGCTTGCAATGACCTAATAATTCTCATTAGTATAAGTCTTATACCGCACCCTTCACCCTTGTAAATAATGCTTACGTATACTTAGCGAAAAAAGAAATCCTTTTTATATTGATATACAATTTTATGAATATACTTCATGTTAATCACTTTGTATGCTTTTTTTAGATAAAAATCCATGTGCATCGTTGTGATATATAATCTATCTTCATACAAGTATTTTATTAAAATCTGATAAGGTAACAAATAAACAGATAGACATAATTCCGAATTCATAATATCAGTATGGATTTCAAATTATTTAGACATTTCAAAAGTTGTTTCACGGACTTCTTTTGGAAGAAAATTTTCAAATCGTTATGAAAATCCCGTTTATTAAAATCCGTTGCGTGACTTATTGTTAGAAATAAATGGAAAACCAGCCGAAAAATTCGACTTTGTGTTGTACTATCCAAAAATTAAATAAAACGAGAAATTAAAAATTGTAACATAATAATAATTATTATGTTTTTAAAAAAGTTTTTTTTACATAATATTTTTAAGCGCCTACCTATTTCTCAGTAAAATTTACTTTTTTTTCATATAGGCTGAGGCCATCAGACATATATGTAACACATTGTAAGATGAAGCCAAGTAACACGTTTTATACAGCCATAATAAAAGTTACGTCCATTAGCAACTCTGAAATTCAGCTACGTTTTACGAAGCGAGGTGTAAACATAAATTAAATGTTACCTCTATAATTATATCGTAATTAGTTATACCACTTGATTAAAGTGGGGACGTGGAAAATTACTGTTAACAAGAACCAATTATATTTTTTAATCCAACTTTGAACTTTGTTTACACAAGCACAGATTATAAATACCGACTGATAATTAATTAACTTAAAATTTGAATGAGATAAATTCGCCGAAAACGGTCTCAATTAAAAATAACCGTAATGTAAACAGCAATCACTGACGGTTGAAAGCGCGGGAAATTCAACGCTGAAAAAGTATTGTAAATAACAGGCCGAAAAATAAAATAAAAAAAAAATTTCCTGTAGAAAAAAAAATATTATTTCTTTTAATAAGTTTTAGTAACGTACCTTGATCGTTCGTGTAGACGCGATTCGTCGCGGGCGGCATGTGGTAGACGTCAGCACACACCGGTTGCGCGCGGATACTATCAACTGGCCCGTTTCGGCGGGATTCATGCGATATGGTGGTTCAGTGACGTGATTCTATCGATAAGAACCAAGCCAAGAGGTGAACTGTCGATAAAAAGTTTACAAATAAAAATAGAACAGATAGACCCTGTTTGTGATTACCTGTGTCAATGGCAGCTAGACTTGTTATGACGAAGGAGCTGTCCTATCATTACGTCTTACGCTATAATTCATTGTTACATAATTTTTATTTTTATTTAGAAAATACACTTGATATAAACATCAGAAATACAAAATATAATATAATTGATTTTTTTAATAACTAATGAAGAATAAACAATACTTCGTACAAAATATTAAATTACTAAGTAAAATTTAACGTACATTTTTGTGATAACAAAAAGGAAAATTGATAGAAAAGTTACAATCACTTCCGTGAAGTAACTGAAACGCGTGGTAGTAAATCTATGAATTCATGTAAAAAGTACGATATTTATTCAAACAAATTCCAGTGGTATTTGAGCAGAAGCGTATTAAACATTAAAACCATCAACCAACCAACCAACAACATTTGCGTTTCTAATATTAATAGGATACTACACAAAATAAATTTATCGTTCAAATAAATTGGCAATTTGTTTTTCTAAAAGGAAATTTAATCTGTATAACATTAATGGCAAAGACTTACTACTAATAATAATACTAATTACTTAGACATCATATTTTGCTACTTTATTATCCGTTTATAAATATGGTATATAATATACTATTATTGTACCTCATAGCAAAAGAACCACAATATGAACATATGGTTATTACATAACATATCTATAAAAACTACTTTTCTATAATTTCATTGTCATTTCCAGTTATATGAATTGCTATTAAACAATTGATGCAATCGGAAATCTGTATTGTAAAACAGTAATCAGTACAGACGAGCGAGTTTCGATAGTAACCATAAGCGAAGACGTATAAAGTTAGTTGAATATGTCTGCCCATTCTGAACCATCTACCCGTCGCTATTCAATTTAGCGAGAGTATGGAAATGCAATATCGGCAATGCAATATTATGCCAATAAAAGGTATTAAGATATGTATATATCATCATTGTTTTACCTTCATTATTTATGGTGTGCGCAGTATATCATCTTTGACCAGTCCCTATCAGACCCGTATACTAACCTTTTATAATGCATATGTATATATCAAGTATATACTTAGGTATATATACACCTATACCTACCTATCTGCATAATTATATGCCTAAGTATACACTCAAATTAGTAGTAAAAGGATTAGTACTAGTTATAGAACTCTATTTAAATTAGACCATATTAGAGTTGATTTTATTAGATTTACACCAAGTCACATGCCACACGGTACTTCCCTCCCTCTTCTACGGTGACATAATAACTCAAATATTAGAAAAATCCCCGCCATCGAAAATAATAGTGTAGGTAACTATGACGCGGTGAAGTTCATATCACCTACAATTTATAATTATTTATATTCAAACATAACGAAATTTATCATTTTTACCTTGAGTATTAAAAAAATAGATCGGAATGTCAAATTAGTACTTCAGAATAGTAACGCATGCAGGATACCATGTGCTGTCTATGTATAGTATATAAGCGAGGGTTGCCACATACATCTTATGTCCCGTCAAATTATGTTGACATTCAACTTACATAAAATAAATCCTTCAACAGAGTCCTCGAATCACGCAAAAATGAATTGTACACACGATATAAATAGGGATTCAAATAAAATGACTTTAAGGTCTTAAAATATAAGAATAATTCTAGAAGTAATAACAGTTTTGTACATCGTCCAAAGTAGAGAATCTCATATAAAATTACCAATATTTTGATTCAATTAATTACATGATTTATTAAAGTCAATTCTTTATTATAGGGAGCAAAATAAATGTCGATCTAGTCATTTTTAATTCTAGCGAGACTATCAAACAGTTATTTGTTATGTAAATTTTATCAGTTAAGTTATTCATTTCAATTAAAAATAATTGTTTATCAATTTAATAAGTGAATGTAGTGACCTAGTGATAATGTAATAAACTTTGTGAATTAGTCCAAATTTTTGAGTTTGTACTCAATGAGTTCACAGACAACTACATAAACTCTTCCAATAAAAAATAATATACGTTCCCTATGTCATTTTTTTATTCAAATGTACAACGAAATATGGCCTTCTTAATAGTTGGGATCTGTATCTGTAATTACATTCGGAAAATATTTTTTTTGAAATATATTATTTAACAAAAATCGTACAAAAATATCGACTAGATTCCAGCACAACTCGGTAATAGCAAAACAAATTTTTGAGTCGTGACACCCGAAACATCGACAATGCCATCCCTAAAGACAACGCATGCGTATAAGCAGCCCTCCAACGATTGCCGGGCAGACTTCCCACGTTGATTGATTCACGAACTTGTGCGCAGGTTAACTCACCCGAGGCACGTGCCTTAAGTAACGCAATTCCAACCTTGTAAGATCTACCCACCCCTTCTTCAACTTTCCAAAATACTCCAACGAGCGGGCCTATGCCAAATATCAACAGGCCATCGTACGTTGGTTGGTTTTATCTGGGCACTTGGTGAGTGCGCGCGTCATTTGTTTTGAAAATGGAATCGTAACGCGCCGCACGACGTAAGTTTCGCAGAGTTCCAAACTACTCAGTTTGTTTTTACTTTTTTTTTATTTCAACTTTTTTCCATTAAGGTCAGTCATTAGTGGCAGTTCGTAACTTTTTTATTACTTCTATAAAAAAGACCCATTCGCGGCCGAGGTTTTAATTAAGAAAGGAGTGTATGAGAAAATTGCTGGTTGCGACATGAGGAAAGGTCTATTATTTTCGCAGCGCATGCGAGCCTTTTGTAGATTTTCTGGTAGAAATATTTTTATAAACACGAAAAGTATACAAAATGATAACCCCTCGGAAAATGATTACCGTCGCCTTTATTTTTGGGTAACACAAAAATTGTTATCATATTACGCTCTTGGTAACCATGTGTTGCCGTTCTAAAGGAATAAAATGTTATACCTCCGCAATTTGTCATTTCACTCACATATCACATCCTTCAAAAATATACTCCTATACAATATTATCGACATTCGATGTTTATTTGTGGGTATCAGTGTCCGGCAAAAATTCGGGGATACGAAAGTATTAAAAGTTTGGCGCGTATGAAAAAGGTTTTTCGCCATTGGTGACCGAAAATTTCACGCGTTCATTCAACGATGCCTTGTACGGCTACACTGCCTGTTGTCTAACTAAACACAAATCCAGTTGGATTTTTATTTTTGTTCAGTGGTCAGTTCTCTTTTATCTAGTGATTTCATTACTTTTAAATGTAACGGCATTTGTGCACGTTTGTAATGGATAAACTGAAAAATATGATTTTCAATATTTTAAAATTCAATTTTAATTTTATTAATTTGAAACCAACGGCAATACAATTTCAAGTTACAATAATGTATGAGGATATATTGAAACCCTAATTATAGGTTTAATATAATTATCATATAGTAACTTATAATGATTTGCACAAAAAGAATTAAACATGAACTGAATGTATAAAATTTATACCTATTTATATCTCTGGATTGAAAAAATATTACTGTAAAGAAATGGAAAATTAGAGGAGTTATCACAGTTTTTACAATTTTACATTAGCAAAGATTTTTTTTTCATGAGTATGATTGTTTTATTTACATAACTTAATTGTACAACTAAGATATGATTATTAAAGATATAAAGATAAATTATTCCAGAGTAAGCTATATATTATATACTACACAAAATTCACAGCTGTACCTATAACTACCGGGCGTAACCGATGCAGGTCACTAGTTATTAAAATATTATGTATATAGTTCATAATGTTTATGACCTAATGCTAATATTAGGTAATCCATCAATGTTATGACGATGAATGAATATTATGACGGCCTTCAAACAAACAGAACAAACACTAGAGGTTATAGGAAAATTGTAATATAACAGTGAAAACGGCAATCAATGGACAAACAGAATAAATTTAAATCGATGGTACGAAAACGTATACAATTCATAATTTATTATTTAATTTTGGGAGACAACCGTGTCCGTTTAATATATTATTACGATATAATGTTTTTTTAATAGATGATAGTGGAATGGTACTCTTACCTACGCTGGTGGGGCAATGATGGAGTATAATAAGCATCGTGATAGAGACCACTACGACAGTTTAATCAGAAATTAATCAAAATGACTTCTAGGTTCTCCATTGCTAACAATGATCAATAAACCAAACGCCATCCGCAATTCCTGGTGAATTAGCCATGATACGCTAACTGACCTGACCTCATGCTCATTCTATCATCCTCCACTGGTGCCATACCAGCGTATACTGTTAGTACAGGTGGGTGCACCTATACATTATAAAAAAACCCCTCACTGGGATTTTTCTGTTGTTTTCTCTCTATATCTACCATGAACATTAGTGATTAAATGTTAATTATCTCATAGTACAATTAGGAAGACAAAAGTAAATAACTAAAAGTTTGGCTAGTATCAAAAACTGTTTAGTCTATAGCGGCTGAAAAATCCCGCGTACATTCAATGATCTTGTGCACGATTGCTCTCAGAAATAGCTAAAAGCCGATTTATATTGTGAAATGTCACCGGAACGTGGTAAAAAGTTTACGCATATTTTTAAATGCCTGTTTCTAGAATAACGTAGAAAGAAATATATTGTTTTGAAAATGTTTCGACTAAGTACAAAACCGACCTAGATCGATCTCTAAACATGGACGCATAATCTAAAGAATCACAATTTCTGTTAGTATTATTTAGGATATTGCTGACAACTTCTCTACCATTTTTTTATAAACTTTGTATTGTTGATATCTGATTTTTGTATGGCATTTTTGACTGCTTCTTAACTGTGAGCCCTTTTGGGAAATATATACATACATTTATAACAATTAATCTGCTT